ACAGAGAGACAGACAATAAACATGCAAAAAATCAGAATTTCATGTCAACATTGGGGGCCTCATCTGCAATGTAGGGGCTGGTGGACCTGCTCCAGCAAGTTTTATGAATGTTAAAACCAAGGCTTAGCAAGCTAGGTAACTTATAGCAGAGGAAGAAACAGAATAGCAAGCCTTACTTAGAGTCAGCCTTTAATGTATTCATTCCACTTCTGTGAAACTCCGGTGATATCGTATCTTGGAGAATGAACTGTTTAAAGAGTTTAGAACAATTTTCCTCCTAAACTTCACTCTTCTGATGTTTCATATTTACTGCCCAGCAATAATAGTACTTTACAAAGTAACATTTTGAAAATAAACTATACTGGGTCGCATCTATGGTTTAGTGATTAGGGCGCCAGCCCCATATACCGAGGGTGGTGGGTTTGAACCCAGCCCCAGTCAAACTGCAACAAAAGATAGCAAGGCATTGTGGTGGGCACCTGTAGTCCCAACTACTTGGGAGGCTGAGGCAAGAGAATCGCCTAAGCACAAGAGCTGGAGCAGTGCCTATGGCTCAAGCAGCTAAGGCACCAGCCACATACACCTGAGCTGGTAGTTCGAGTCCAGCCTGGGCCCGCCAAACAATGACAGCTGCAACCAAAAAATAGCCGGGCGCTGTGGTAGGCACCTGTAGTCTCAGCCACTTGGAAGGCAAAGACAGGAGAATTGCTGCAGCCCAGGTGTTGGAGGTTGCTGTGAGCTGTGATACCACAGTACTCTACCAAGGGTGATAAAGTGAGCCTCTGTCTCTAAAATAAAAATAAAAATAAAAATAAAAACTATATTAATTACTATGCACAAATCTATGTAATATACACAGAATATTACTAGAAATAAAAACAGGATTGAACATATCTTCATGGCTAACCAACCTTAGGAAATCATGGCATTTATTTTGTTAAAATGCACAGCACCGGTAAAGACTGACATGTTGAGGGTTGGAAGTCCCAGTAAATCATGCTCCTCTTTCCTACCAAGTTATAACCAACTGAGAAATAGGCAGAAGAGTACACAGCAGAGAATTGTGACCCCAACTGCTAAAGCTGATTCTGAGGATTGGGTGGCAATAGTGGACCTCCCAACACTGAACTAGGCAAACTTATCACAGAATTGCTGGCTGGCAGCACAGGACAACTGTATTCCTTCCCTCTGCCCACTCTATGTATCTACTGCTGTGAAATTTGCAACATAGAGCAGCAGACCAGTGGCTCCAAGAGTAAGACTGGCCAAAGAGGCTGAGGTTTCTCACCAGTTTCCACCATGGAGTATCTCTTTCTGTGGTGAAGAGGAGGGGAGGACTCAAGAGGCCAGGAGTGTTAATAGGACTCCCTGCAACTTTATCACATGCCCCACTTCATTTTGTTCCCTTAACATAGTAGTCTTCAAACTGGAGTTTGAAAATACAAATTCAAAGAGAAAAATAATGTAAAATTTCTGTGAAAAGGAATGATAGTATCTAATTTCATGGGATTTAGATTTCATTTAAATGCATTTTAAGTGACACAATCCTTTTTATTTCAAAATATTCTTATTAACATTACACTAAAAAGTATAACTTTTGCAAAATTTTGTCCTAAAGTTAGGACAAAAACACTTAAATATTTTTTTTCAATTTAAAGATTATTTTAGGGGTTCTGTCAGCAAAAAAGTGTGAAAACCATTGCCTTAACCCTTTGAGCTCATCCATTGAGATTAACCTAGGATACGGATATTGACTTAGGTGAGAAGTCAGCAATTAGGGTAGTCCTCCTATCTTCATGAGACCAGTTCTCCAATATTGATTTCAACCCTTTTATAGGACTTACTGGGGATGCTAGTATAGAATTTTGTCCCCAGAACGCCCTAAATGGGTCAGAACAATACATCAATGGAATCAACTCCAATGCTATTCTGTACCCAAGGCTGTAGTTCACAACATATTCTATTGCCATCTCAATTTATGTCCTGTCAGCTTGTCTAATATTATCAGAATTTCTACAAGATGATCAAGTATGTTAATATGAGCCAATGAGATGTTCCCGATTTGATTTCTGATCCTTTTTCAATATAAATTTTCCAGGGAAAATTAAAAGTTCCAAGATTAAATCACTTTGTTTTTCTAAATTGTGGCTTATCAGTACCAACTTTGTGTTAAAGTCCAGAATTATTAAAGCCCTTGTGACTTAAAGTTCAAACAAGTTTTGTCACTCCCTGGAAGTGAACTTAGCTCCCAAACTGCAGTTTCCCTTTCCCCACAGAGCCTATGCTCTTCAGCTAACCCTAAGCCTCCTTTGGCAGGGACTAGCCCCTGTAAAACTTGTGGTATGAGTTAGCAGAGGAGAAGCACATTTTCTATAGGAAGCATGGCTCCCAAGAGAAAAGGAGGAGAGAGGAAGAAAGTGTGCTGTACCTATACCAAACTTACACATCAAAAAACTCACTGGTCAGACAACCAAAAATCGCATTACAACAAAGACATTTGTATCAGAATGTTTATTGCAGCCCAATTCATAATTGC